TGATTACTCAACAGTGGTCCATTTTGAAGTGATACAACATGGTCGTGATGCAATATCCAATGGTGGAATGGCAGTAGACTCCTTCTTGTTTTTAATGTGAATGAAAATGGTGCCGTACTCTTGGGTAAGTTCAGTTTTTCATTCAAAGACTTGTTTTCATTCACATCAAAATAAATAGGGTGTCTACCCAACCTTGTTGGCCATTGCATCCAGCATACTGTTACGCACATAAATGCTATTGTCGTTATCAACACGCACACAGCTGAACCGCTGAGCTCTCGAGAAACAGCGAGGCTATTTTGACACATTTGCTTATTGCCAAGTTTCATAGCTTCCCTATTCAGGGTTCACATTGTCAGCAAAATATTTCAGCTTAGTCGAAACACCGTACGTGATTTGCAAGGTCATCAAACAGCATGTCTCTTCAGAGCCATTGTGTGTCAAAATCGGTGTTGTGTTGTGAAGGTCTGCGGTTATTATTGTTTGTTTGATGGTTTTCATACCGCTGAGCTCTCGAGAAACAGCGAGGCTATTTTGACACATTTGCTTATTGCCAAGTTTCATAGCTTCCCTATTCAGGGTTCACATTGTCAGCAAAATATTTCAGCTTAGTCGAAACACCGTACGTGATTTGCAAGGTCATCAAACAGCATGTCTCTTCAGAGCCATTGTGTGTCAAAATCGGTGTTGTGTTGTGAAGGTCTGCGGTTATTATTGTTTGTTTGATGGTTTTCATGAAAGTAAGAGTTCGAAAGATCCCAGAGTGTTCGCCTGAATCACATTTTAGGGGCAAACACAGACTTTTTTTAGTGATTCAGTGATTCTTTTTTAGTGATGGCAGCTGCTTAGCATTTCTTTTCTCCCTAGTTTACAACCTGCTGTCACCTCCCAGATGGTTAGAATTTGATCTCACCTGGTCGTTTCCTTCTCTATTGTGTTAATGCGAATTCCATAGAGGAGAACAGGTGCCTTCTGTTTCCATCGATGCAACGCTGTCTGTCGAGAAGTGTGGAGACAGTCACTGGCACGGGGAAGATTTCCTTTCCATCTGGCTCTACTTTAGCTCGCGACCTTATTCAAATGTCAATGAGCGCGATCGTTTTACCCCCTCTGTCAGCGCTTGTGAGTTTGATGCTTTTGTGTCGAGTCGAGGGGGATGAAACAGAATGCTGGGAGTTCAGTATTAATAACAGTGTTGAGGTATAGCGGTCCTGTTGTTAAAGATAATGAGGAATAACCCACTTGGTTCAAAGCACACTGTTGAGGGATTTAAATATCTGCACTTTTCCAATTTATCTCTTTATTACCTTCCTGAAATTCAGTTTTTGGGCTTGAGGCCTGAAACATGCTCTACGCAAATGCTTGACGCAATTCCCAAGACCTGATATTGTGCATAACCGCTTTCCCAAATGTCAGTCTACAGTTCATAATGTGCTGCATTCTCAACGTCGCCACAAGGGGCGCTGTAAGCAGTTTTTTCTTTCACGTTAACCACTGTTATGGAAGAGCTACAGTTTAAAGAGCATCTTACTGAGCTATTTAAATGAATGACGTTTATAGCTAGCTACCTGAATAAAGGCTGTTCACACCAAGAACGATAACTGTAAAGGTAACGCTGACAATATTAGCATCCGCACCAACGGACAATAACGTTCTGTTTATCATAAGCTAACGCTGCAGTTTTGTCATCTGCTGCTTTAAATGCTCAAGCTCTTTAAAGTCAAATAGATTCTGATTGACTGTCAAAGTTTTTATCATTCTTCAGCTGGAAAACATTTTTTTTTAAAGTGATTCCAACGATATCGTTCCTCTGTGACGTTAACGTTAGAGCTGTGATGTGGACTTCGTTACTGCCATAGAATTAGAACAATTTTTAAAACCTTTTTGTTATAGTTAAGACCCATTCACAACAAGAATGTGAACTAAAAAGATAACTGTAACGATAATTAGCATCCACACGTTCCGTTTATTATAAGCGCAGATTGCAGTTTTGTCGCCTGCCGCTTTGCTCGAGCTCTTTATAGTTAAATAGATTCTGATTGGTTGTCAAATGTTTTTATTGTTCATCACTTGGGGAAAAGACTATTCTGAAAGTGATTCCAATGATAGCCGTTCTTCTGTGGAATAGAATTTGAATGATTATTTAAGCTTTATAGTTAGTTATTGTGAACGGCCCTGTACTTGCGTACAGTAAATCTCTGGCCTTACAGTGGTGTGCAATACAGTTTCGTACCCTGTGGATGAAGTTCTCAATGATTTCGAGTTTTCAATCTTCTGTCCTCTTTCAATTCAGACTTCTTTTTGCGTCAAAATATAAGGCACCTTTTAAATGCACTTTGCAAGAGAGGTTAGCATACTCCTTTTTCCTACGATTGTTGCCATCTTATTTTACTAAAATAAATGATTTATTCCTAAATCTAATGAGCTACCATGCTGTCTTCTGTCTAAATCAGCAGCTGCCTTCTTATATGTGAGATTGAACATCAGTGACAGGAGACTTGCATTAGCATGTTGCTAAGCTAACACAATAGCATGCCACTACTCTCACAACAGACCATTTTATTTAGCTGGAACTCGTTTTTATTGATGTGTTTTCAGTATTGAGTGAAATATGAATATTTATATTTAACATTTCTTTCGACTTGTCCTCCATCATGGATTGATTTTTCACACAGTGCATTCTGGGATTGTCTTCTCTGTGAAAGATACTTGCAGTGATGTTTTAAAGTTTGGCTTGGTTGTCATCCTTCACAACAGGCATCTGTAATGCCTTGAAATGCTGTCTAGGTAGGTAGGTGATTGTTTTTGCTTTAGCACACCTTTTGTCTAACGTTTGCTGCAAACATTACGCACAATCACAACTTTACCAAGTTTGTTTAATATTATTCTGTATCACCTCTGCCTTTAAGAGTAAATCAAAGGGTAGTTGCTGTTACTAACAACAGATATAATCTGGGTCGGTTCCATCTTATGAGAAAGTCTTATATGATACCAATGTATTAACATTCATATTTACCATAGCTGACTCTTGTAACTGCTGTCCAGTAGTAATATCAAATATTGTGTATTCATATGTTGGAAATCACATTTTAACATTAGTTTCAGAAAAGTACAAAGTATATAAGATGGACCAACATTGCTCTAAAGTTCTTAGGAATCGAATATATGTAACATTTATGACTATGCTGTACGTAAAACTAAGGCAGTGACAATACTTTGGTAGTGAAAGCTGTGCAGTTTTGATTACAATCTTTAAAAATAGAAGAAAAAGAAGTGGTTTTATGGTCTGTGAACAATATTACTAAAATAAGGGAAGCTCTTATTTTTTGGAGTACCTCTCTCTTTCTCTTGTTATATATCTATATATTTTTTACAGTTGACCCTTAACATTGTGAAGTTACTATTATGTTGTGAACGAATGCTGTTATATTTTGCAGAGTAGATGTGAGGTCTATTCAATATTTTGCCTTATTGTTATAATGTCCATTAGTTTAATTCCTTTCGTTATCGTTGTTAAAGGACTGTAGTTCTCCTTTACTATAGTGATATTGCTATGAATGTGATTAAGTCCAAGTGAGAAATAAATGCAACTGCAATGCAACTGAAAACGTGCTACAAGTGTGTTTGTCTCATTATTGTCAATAATGGCATGCAGAAGAGGATGAATCCTTAAAGAGACAGTTCACCCAAAAATGAAAATTATTTTATTTACCCAAACCTGTATTAATTATGGAAAACAAAACATTTTTAGTACTGTTTTGGTCCTTTTTGGGGCTTGACAGTTCCAGTCCCCCTCCACTTCCATTGTATGGAAAAGAGCAGCTTGAACATGCTGCTAAACCTCTCCTTCTGTGTTCCTCAGAGGAAATAAAGTCAGACGGGTTTGGAACAACATGAGATGGAATAAAATACTAAAAATACAATACTCCTATTTGCAGTAAATATTTATTCCTTTAAAAGAATACTTACCCAAAAATTCATCCGATGCACCTAATGCATCCTAGGTGTATATGACTTTCTTCTTTCAGACGAATCCAGTCGGAGTTATATTAAAAATTGTTTTGATCTTTCAAGCTGTTTAATGCCAGTCAGCGGGTGTTGCATGCTTCAGTCCAAAAGAAGTGAAATAAAAAGCGCCCATCCATTACTTTAGCAAAGGAAAACCAGTCTCCTCTTGGCTTATATCCAAATCCTCCGACATTCTTCTTTACAAATCCTCGTATTGTACTTCTAATTATTGACCGATGTTTTGTTTTGATCTCTCCCCTGCGCTTCTGTGTGCGTCACTTCTGAGCGGCACAAAGCTGACCTTATACGTCATTCCCTGCTTCCGTTTACAAAAGTGAGCGCAAGCTAGATTAAATTGATTTTTACGTTTTAAATATGGATATTTTTCTTACAAAAACGCATCGATTCGCTACAGGAGGCCTTTGTTCACCCCCCGGAGCCGTGTGAGTGACTTGAGGGTGAGTAATTTATGGGCTAATTTTCATTTTTGGGTGAACTAACCCTTTAAAATATACTCACCCTCAGGCCATCCAAGATGTAGATTAGTTTAAATGTGAAAACAAACCAAAAAAGCTCTAAACAAATATGTCGGCAGATATTCATGTGAGAGGACAACAGGAGATGGACTGTAGGAAGCGATATTATGGATTATGGACTTTTATTTTAGCCGGAAAAAATGATTTGAAATTAAAAGCGCTTTAATGATTGATTTGTTTCTTATCAACACAAAGGTTTTGACTTCACAAGACATTAACTGATGGACTGGAGTAGTGTGGATTACTTGTAGATTATTGTGATGTTTTTATCAGCTGTTTGGACTCTCATTCTGACGGCACCCATTCACTGCAGAGGATCCACTGGTGAGTAAGTGATGTAATGCTACATTTCTACAAATCTGTTCCAATGAAGAAACAAACTCATCTACATCTTGGATGGAGTCATCTTGCAGTACATTTTCAGCAAATTTTCATTTTTTCATGAACTATTCCTTTAAATGTAAAGCGGATAAGTGACAAGGATAGATCACTTTTCAACAAACATTCACAGACGGATCACTGCAGTTCAGTGACCAGACAAAGCAGTCAACCGGATAGTGTTCGTATTCAATTACATACATTTTAAATGTTGGGAAACCCAAACCGAGGACTTTGTACAGGTTATATCCAGATAAACATTCTGTCCTTTTAGCATTATTTAAACTATATCTTCATCAGGCCATATATGCATTTTTTTAGTCATTCTTACAGTTCAAAATATTTGAAAGGAAAGGTTAGACAATTATAGACATAAGGACAGTCTGTCCTCTCCGGTGTGAACAGCACGAGATTTGGATTTCCTGTGTGGAAACTGCTCTAAAGACAAGAGTCGCATTTGGGAAGACTTGCCCAGGTAGGCTGCAAGTGAGCTGCATTCTGATAAGACATCTTGTGCTGTGCCTGACGGTTGCGGAATATGAATTTCAACAAGAGCAATGGTGACCAAAAGGTAAGACCCCTAGTGGCCATACAAAGTAGTGTAGTTCATTATTTTACAACATTATGTAATCCATTACAGCCTAGTTTTTACTTTGTTCTGTTAATTAACAGTACAGCTCTCTTGTTAACACCCTGTAACCTTGTTGATTTATTACAATATTGCTTTTCTGCATGTAAATGCATTTCCGAACAGGTTCGCAACAATTACCTCAGTGCCTCAGGCTCCTTTTAAAGTTCCTTCTTGCCCAGCTGACCATAATACAAACTGTCTTGGCTGCAATTATGAAAAGTAAGGCACTGGTTTTCTTGTGGCTATAATACTTGTTAAATCATGTGAAGAAAACATTTATTGACAATTAATGATCTATGAGGCCGTTTAACCTTTCTTAAAAATCCCCTGAAGCAAGGAAAATAAATGTCATGTGGTAAAAGGCACATTTTCTGGTGTGACTAGGAGTTCATAAATGTAACCTTGAAGAAGCCTCCAGTTCTCAGTGGCAGCTTTAAACTTAATCATTAATGAAATCTGTGAGATATCACTCTTGTCTGCGTCATTTGTTCTCAGAGTGACACTGAGGGATACTGATCCCAACTTGTGCTCACCTTTTGCATTTCTTGAATATTGAGTAATTCTTTCACAGAATATTTTGAGAGTCAAGAAGACATTGGTCATCTTTCTCTGTGAATAAACAACCAAAATGGTATAGCAATTACAATTCTAATGAAAATATTTTTTTCTGTTTTACCTTTATTTTACAGAAAACTATGGAAGCCTGCTTCTGGAAGCCTCGTTTTTCTTACCTCAATGGTTCATGGATTTGCACGTAAACCGGTTATAATGAGATATTTTTTGTCTGCCATACAATATTTAAAACTGTATGGCCTGGTTTCACAGACAGGGTTTAGGTAAAGCCAGGATTAGGCCATAGTTCAATTAGGACATTTAATTATCTTGTATAAACGTGCCTTAGAGAAAAACATTACAGGTGTGCATCTTGAGACAAATCAATAACATATTTTAAGATCAATCAGTGCAAGTTTCTTACAGTTGAAACAGAACAGACAAGCATTTTAGTCCGGGATTAGGCTTAAACCTTGTCTGTGAAACCGGGGGTATGTATTAATTGATACATATTGTGTATTTTTTAGGGATGCACCGATACCACTTTTTCCAGTACTCGCCCGATACCGATACTTTTATTTTTGGTACTTGCCGATACCGATATTTTTATTGCATTTGTACATTTTTTAAATATTGGGTACAGAAACCAAAAGGGTATGTATAATGTTAGTTGGTTAACTTCATTTATCAAATAGATACAGTCAAACCAAAATATATTCAGACACCTTCAACATTTCTCACATTAAAAAAGTAACGCGAAAGTAAAGCAAAAGTAATGTAACGCATTACTTTCCATAAAAAGTAACTAAGTAACGTAATTCGTTACTTTTTTACGGAGTAACGCAATATTGTAATGCATTACTTTTAAAAGTAACTTTCCCCAACACTGTTTATATGCGACCTATTGTTTAATTGGACCTGCCATAGTGTATTTTAATCAGATAGCAAGCCACAGATTTGAATTGTAATTGTATCACCATTCACCTCCCATCAAGATGTCTATGCTAGACATCTTGCTGGTCAGGTGTTTCTCAATTATAAAGTTAGTCGCCTTCATGCCTCTGTTGTCATGTGGTGCTTTCCATGGCATGCTGATGCATTTCCCACCGTTGTTCATCCAGTTCAGTAAAACGAACTGGTTCAAAAGAACGATTAGTTCGCGAACCAGGCATCACTCTCCAGACCGTTTGCCTGAAGCTCTGGATTAGAGGTAATAATGTTGTAAATAATGTTCAGTTTGTTGCACAGATGGATCGTTTCGCTTCATAAGACCTCAATGTATCATCAGGGGCCACGGGTGTTAATTTTGTGTTGCCTTTTCTGACTCTCAAAGTGCTGGTAGCCACTGACTTGCATTTTATGAATCTTCAAGGACCACAGTTTCAGCTAAAAATCTTTACTGTTCTGTTGAAGAAGAAAAAAAGGCACCTATATCTTGGATGGACTGAGGGTGAGTAAATTACCAGCAAATATTCATTGTTGGAGTGAACAATCCCTTTAAATCTTTCACACTTGATGTCTTATGTGGCTGAAATAATTAATTAATTGATTGATGTGAATTTACTCAAAACAAAAGTATACTGATTTTTGGCTCTTTTAGTTCCAGGATGGTGTGAAATATCACATTGGAGTCTATTATGAAATTCTCCAGGCACTTTTACATTCTACAGCAGGGGTCTTCAACTCACTTTCCTGCAGAAATGAGCTCCAACCTGGATTAAACACACCTACCTGCAACTTTGTAGTGATCCTGAAGACCTTGATCAGCTTGTTCAGGTGTATTTTATTAGGGTTGGAGCTGAAATCTGCAGGAAAGTGGATCTCGAGGGCCAAAGTTGAGGAGCCCTAAACAACAGTATGTGACAAAGAGTTTTCAGATGTGATTATTGCACCCAATTTCATCAGGAAATGTACAAATCTAGTAGTTTTGCATTATGCATGACAGTAAAAAAGCCATACATCTGCCACCTTTCTTGATTTTCTTGAGGATTCCTCAGAAGTCATATTCAGCACAGATGTGCTCGTAGACTTTCTCATCAGCTACAGTGAGAATCTTTCTCATCTCCGCCTCCATCAAACCCCTCCTGTCCTCTCACATCTCTCGAACGCCTCTGGAGGTCAGAGAGGTTTCTTTCAAGACTTTTACAGAGATTACACATGCTATGGACTGCATTGTTTTGTACACACAGATCAGATTCTTCTTGAGATCTGGCACAGGATCTAAATTGTTCTGTTTCATAACTTATCAACAATATCTGAACTCTCTTAAAACACACTTTTCAGATTCTCACTCACTTGATTTCTCCATGTCCAACAGTAGACATACATGCATCACAGGAGAATTCATTTTTTTAATACATCCTAAATATAAACAAAATATTTTTAATGATTTTATTCTTTGTATTTTTAATTTCTTGTGTTTTTAAATTTTCACCTATTACACTTATTGTTTTGTGAAAGTGCTAATTGCTTTGAAAAGTGCTAATAACTGTACATAATAAACACATTCAAGCCTATGACAGCTGGATCTTTCAACAGTGCATTAACACAGACGATCAGCAGAGGTCAGCGGTGTTTAGACATTAAAAATCCTACATCAGACTCTAAGCAGCTCAACATATGTGTATTATGTGTATTTCAGCATCTGTATTATTTATCATTTAATAACAAGTTAGGTAAGAATGCATCTAACTAGTTATTTATAAACTATTTACACTACTGTTCAAAAGTTTGGTGTCAGTAAGATATTTTAATGTTTTTGAAAAGAAGTCTCTTCTGCTCACCAATAATACATTTATTTGATGAAAATAGAGTAAAAAAAAATAATATGGTGAAATACTTTTACAATCTATTAAACATACTGCTTTCTATATGAAAATGTTAAAATGTAATTTATTCCTGTGATCAAAGCTGAATTTTCAGCATCATTACTCCAGTCTTCAGTGTCACATGATCCTTCAGAAATCAGTCTAATATGCTGGTTTGCTGCTCAAGAAACTATTGATGATTACTATTGATGTTGAAAAAATGTTTCTTTGTATAAACCATGATAGCTTACTTTTTTCAATATTCTTTGATGAATATAAAGTTCTAAAGAACAGCATTTAATTTGAAATTTAATAATTTTGTAATGCCTATTTTTTCATTTTTGATCAATTTAATGAAAACTCAATGTAATGAAATCAATTTAATGAAAAAAGTATTAATGTCTGCCTTGTTTTTTTTTTGGAGTTCATCACCTTTTTTCCTTTTGGTAGTCGTGTTTAGGTAATTTATAGTGAGGAGTAAATAAATGATATTTAGAATTAGGTGTTTTATTTCTATGTAGTGCTTTTGTTGAAGTTTTGTTGTTAATAGTTGTGTTTTGTGTGTAGTTGAACAAGAGCTTATTGTTTCTGAATGCAACATGACAGATATTGTGTTGTGTAATATATTGAGGAGAGACACTTTTTATTGTATTTTATTTCATAATGATTTTATTTATTTATGTATTTATTTTGTTCTTAACAGTTAGTGGAACTAGCTACTAACATATTTGGAGTTCAGTACTTTTTAAAATTATTATTATTCTCAGTGTTGCATTCAGCTGTGCATTTCATTTGTTTATCATTATTTATAAAATCCATAATTTCAGTTGTTGCTGTCTGAACATCTGCCATGTCTGATCGTGCATGTGAAAACAAGCTGAGCAACATTCTTATTTATGGGAAAAGCTGAAGGAATATTACATGAGCAGAATATTGAGGAGATCACATTTCAGAGCAAACTGATGTGATCGCAGTGTTAAATAGTGTGTTTTGCTCATTAATGCTATTTTGTTTGATTTAAAGCAACTGTAGAATGTGTAGTTTTGTGTATTTTTCTTGTATCATTGACAAACTATTTTCCTGCTTGACTCTGTAAAGCTGCTTTGACACAACCAGTATTGTATAAAGCACTGTACAAAAAAAGGTGACTTGACTATTTTTGCGACTTTGGAGCCCCCTACAGATAGATAGATAGATATAGATAGAAATAGTCAGATGATAGATAGATAGATAGATAGATAGATAGAGTAGATAGATAGAAATAGTCAGAAGATAGATAGATAGATAGTATTTTTGTGATTGATTGAACAGTTCACCCAAAAATGAAAATTTGCTGACAATTTACTCTCAGGCCATCCAAGATGTAGATGAGTTTTTTTCTTCATCAGAACAGATTTGGAGAAATGTAGCATTTCATCACTTGCTCACCAGTGGATCCTCTGCAGTGAATGGGTGCCGTCAGAATGAGAGTCCAAACAGCTGATAAAAACATCACAATAATCCAGAAGTGATCCACAATTAAAGTTTTGTGAAGTGAAAACCTGTGTTTGTAAGAAAAAAAAAACATAATTATGATATCAAGATATTACAACATAAATCACATTTTTAGGTTACCAGACAAAACAGTCCAAACCTTGGTCTGAAAAAGATTAAAGACCCCCGTTTTAATGGTAAAGTTGAGATAGGCCCTCGCACAAAAATCCTCATTGAAAGGTTTTCTTCCTCTCTTTTTCTATTCTATTCCTAATCTTTTGATCGTTTGTTACCCATGTTGAAAAGAGGTCTTCTTTTCTAACATCAAAAGGAATGAGGCAGGTGCTGCGTTGACAGCTGTGAGAGACATTTACAGTCCAGGTGAACGTGACGTCTATCCTCCATTGACCTGCTCTGTTTCTCACTTGCTATGAATGAAAAGCTCGCTGCATGAACAAATAAACATCTGTGTCTGACAGTCTCATCCGTGCTTTGAATCCAGCTAAATCTCGGTTTATTGCATTCGCAAGCCACTCTCCTTCCCTGAGATCTGACAGGAATACACGAGCGTGTGTGAATGGAGCTGATTATTACGGCTCTAAATAAAAATCAGCAAGGAACATACTTTACAATGTTTAATAAATAAATAAATAAATAAAAAATAATATAGGCTAACTCTAGTTTTCTATTAGGTTATTCCATCCACATTTGCATTTGGCCTAAATGTATAGGCTACTGTAACATTGGAAATGTATTTTCTTGCACCTGAAATACATTTTTAAATATATTCTATTTCAAAAACATATTTCATTGAGCTTCATTGTTTACAACTTATATTTAGCATATATTTAAAATATATATTTGGCCAGGGATATTTTGCTGAGGATAGAACGCTCTTTTCTTCGTACTTTTTTTTCTTGTCTTTCTGTAGATGAACAGAAATGTGATCTTATATCAATCTCTGTGGTCACATCTACAGCCATTTGTCTAATGCTTGTCTCCATTGTATCCATTT